AAAAAAAAAAAAAAAATTTTTAACACTTTAAACGCCATGGGGGACTACATTAGGCCACGATAGCGGAAGATTTGTCCTAGATAGTTTCCTATCATCAGTCAGGCTTTAGGGAAATACTTTAAAAAATCGTAGGTCGGCTTTGTTCAATGTTCTGATGGTGATGATGATGATGATGGGTGACAGTCGGTGGCTTACCGTGTCTTGATGGGCCTCCGTATAAAAAATGTTCGGGAGGCTCCAAACAATTTTATAGTTACCTGCACAATTGCAAATTTATGTAATGTAAATGTATATGTAATTGTTAATAATTTATAGCAAAAGTTCTTCTCATAAAATGCACAACTCTGGAACTCAACTTTGGTTGAATACATCAAAATCTACATAATTGGCAATTTTAAACACTCGGAAAACTTTCCAGGCAACCCCCATATTTTAGCCCACATTTGGATTATAATGACTTTAGTGTCTTTAGGTTTTCTTAAGTTCAGCCAATTTTAAAACCCATGCTTTACGCGGGAAAATAATTAGTTACTTATTTTAACCGACTTCCCAAAAAGGAGGAGGTTATGACTTTTGTAATTTCTGAAATATATTTTTATTAATTTTTGCTTACGCACGTCGGGGCCCCGTATAATTAATGCGGCAGATACGACGAGAACGACTAGCTATGCCCCTGATGATAGTTATTCCATTCCCAAGTTATTCCTGTCTTTTTTAACTATTTGTGACGAAGGAGACCTAAACAGATTTAATTATTTGATTTATTAGAATGAATGTCTCGTTAGTTGTTTGAAAATCTGCATGAAATCCCGTAACACAATTTAAAAACAGTTGACCTACGTGCCTACTTATTCAATGGATATTTACGATTTTGTGGATAAGTAGAATGAATTAAAACTTAATTATTTTAAAAGTAGTTACCTACCTACTTCAACTTGACCCATCTTACCTTATTACAATGTTGTGAACATTGCATATTATTTTATTTACCATTTTGATAAGCATTAAACATAATAACGCATATAAAAATAAAGGAGCTCTCAATGATTTTAGCGACATGTGCATAAAATAAAACAAAGACAGGAGACACAAGTGAGGGTCAGAGCTGATGTAAAAAAATCCCATCTCAACAATAAATAACAAGAATATCTTGAGAAAGCAGGATGTGGTCAAATTGAAATCGACGTCCTCACTGAATTGATGCAAAGTAAGTGCTTATTGCAATCAACAGTCACACATTATCGTGACATCCTCTTTTTCTTGAACGTCATAAAACAGGGGTGCCACTCCACTTTACTGTGATGAATTGATGACGGTAATTTGTTTTGCAATATTCGAATTTGTTACTTTATGTACTTGCGAAAAAGTAGCTACTCACTTTGGTCCCATTTTTGTTTCAGATTTGCCAATATGCAAAGGAACGGAGATATTTACCTATGCCTATTATGAAACAGGAAGAGAAATGATATGACCTGCTAATTCACTCTCTGGGCACAGCAAACTCAACCTAATGTCTATATACTTAAGAACATAAGTAGGTACATAAATACCTTTTACCAATAAATGCCGAACCTTGTGATTAAACCGTACCCGCAAGGTTCCTACCATTCATTTCGAAGCAATCAATTTACCCATAAGATAATACCTAATGTAAAGTAGGTAGGTACCTACCTTGCCTACCTATACGAAGGAAAAAGATAAATAACTTATATTTCAATGCGCACGAATCAACTGTTTTGCAATTTGATGTTGGGCATCTACCTAAGTAGGTAGTTATATCTAGTTCATATACCCACAATAACGTGTCCATGCCCTATGGACGCAGACCGTGTAGTATCTTTCCTTTGAAGCATCAAAGGATACTGATTTTACTGTAGTCTAAGTTATAAATAAACGCAGACAACAACAAAGGTACTAAATGAAACCTAAAACAGCCCTGAATGAAACAGTGCACGCGCACATCTTCGCCCGCTTAATTTACGTGGTGTTCCTTTTTTTCTGTCTGTCCCTCCTGTCTCCTGGAAATCCGTCGCGACCAATGCTACAAGTTATTTTCATACACTACGTACTTCAGCTGTCCAAATGCTTAACACTTGTTTGGACTTATGATGCGCATTTATTGCCTACATTAACAACAGATTTATGAAGTAAAATTATAAAATCTTTTACTGAACCTTTTATGTGGCTAGTTAAGTAGTTACATACGTAAAGAATATCAAACGTATCACGCAGTCGGTATTTCACATACTTTATTTTGTCGACTGTATTTACTTACCGGAATGATGAGATAAGTACCGAAGTGCAACATTATTTGCTTAAAAAAATGACGAACAAATCTTACGTCATTGTGCTTATATGGATTGGTACACATACACAATGCGCCAAATTAACTGTAATTGGTGAACCGAAAACTTATTACAACCCCAACCGAATACAAATAACTTGTACTTACTTATAAACGAATAGTTTTCAAAATTTAACGATGAACTAACAACCAATTATGTAAACAAAGGACCACTTAACACCAGTCGCCAAAATAAAGAGGTTTTTGAATGGAAGCAACGTCCCCTTAATACCAAAACCCCGAAATTTCGAAACGGTTCAACAAAACCAAACATTTCAGGTGTAACTATTGTAGTCAATGTCAAGGTTACCTTCGGCGAACTGACCTACGGAACCTAAATTGCTCTTGAACTCGCTCACACACTGGCCTCAATTGTGCCCCATCTAATGCACCGGTTAACAACCTCTAGTGTCAAGGTGCCTGGTGTTGTTTGCATAGCGAAAGGAAGTCTCAAAACTATCACATCTACGAACGATTCACTAAATTCACGAACTCCAATCACAGTCATTGAAAGAAGTTCAGTTCAATAACTAAAATCGGTATTCGAATAAAACACATGAACGTCGAAAATTGAAGCAGACATGAAACTGGCAGTTGTCCGTAGATGTCTTTTATTTAACTATGTAACTATCGCCATGATGGCGATTTAAGTTAAATGGTCTGTCATATCAATAACTTACCGGATATTGATTGTTATAATAGACCTTTAGGTACATTTCTTAATTTATATGATTGGGCACTATTATTATATATTGAATGCTCCTCTGGTGTTGCGGGTGTCCATGGTCAGCTCGTTTGCTCCTATTCCAAAAAAAAAGATTACGCCCATGTCACCCAAAGGTATAAGCAGTGATAAACCAACCTATTCATAGTAGTTATGTCTATTCAATGTGTAATTAGAACCTTGCAATATACATCCCAA